TGACAAATAAATAAATAAAAATTTTTTTTTAAAAAAGGAAAAAGGTAAGATAATTTCAGAGTGATAAGTGCTATCGAGAAAACAAAGCGGGTAAAAATTAAAAATAAAATCTTTAAAAAAGAAAAAGGAAACAAAGCAGGGTAGTAGTGGGATAGTGGTTGAGAAAAGGAGGAGCCTTAGATGTGGTAGATACACACAATAGAATATTATGCAGCCATCAAAAGGAATGAGATCTTGCCATTTGCAACGACGTGGATGGAACTGGAGGGTGTTATGCTGAGTGAAATAAGTCAATCAGAGAAAGACATGTATCATATGACCTCACTGATATGAGGAATTCTTAATCTCAGGAAACAAACTGAGGGTTGCTGGAGTGGTGGGGGGTGGGAGGGATGGGGTGGCTGGGTGATAGACATTGGGGAGGGTATGTGCTATGGTGAGCACTGTGAATTGTGCAAGACTGTTGAATCACAGATCTGTACTTCTGAAACAAATAATGTAACATATGTTAAGAAAAAAAAAAAGAAGATAGCAGGAAGGGAAGAATGAAGGGGAGTAAATCGGAGGGGGAGAAAAACCATGAGAGACGATGGACTCTGAGAAACAAACTGAGGGTTCTAGAGGGGAGGGGGTGGGGGGATGGGTTAGCCTGGTGATGGGTATTAAAGAGGGCATGTTCTGCGTGGAGCACTGGGTGTTATGCACAAACAATGACTCATGGAACACTACATCAAAAGCTAATGATGTAATGTATGGTAATTAACATAACAATAAAAAATTTAAAGAAAAAAGTCAAAAAAAAAAAGAAAAGGAGGAGCCTTCAGGTAGCGTGCTTCTTGGAAGGGTCACGTTTGAGTTGGGATCCAAATGATGAGAGGCAAAATCCTTGGAGCATTGAAGAGGTGGCTGTGTTTTCTAGCATCTCTTCTCCACCTAGGCTGGCTCTCGGAGAGTGGTGCACCTGGTGGGGCTGCTCTGCATGGGGCTTGGGCTCTCCCCGAGGCTGGCCCAGCTCCTCACCGCCATCCCGCTGCCTGTGCTTGGTGAGTGGACATATCAGCAGGGCTGGTATTGAACCAGCACTCCCCCCCCGCCCCCCAGGATGGCCCCACTGGTTGCTTGTGGCTGGAACCCTCTCTTTCTGAACAGACCCCTGACATATGGCGAGCTGTGTGTGTCAGCTGCCCTCATTTTCCCCAGCCCAATATCTTGACCTCTTGACCGGGCTTCTGGCGTAATTGGAGAGTGAGTCTTTTGGTTGTCTGTCTTCATCACAACCTGCCCCACCCTGCAATCCTCCCTCCCACGCCAGCTCTTCCCAACCCCCTTGATTGCTTCCCTACGAGACAGGTGGGGTGCTTGGGGTGACCCAGGCCGTGGTTCTGCCTACTGGATTCTCCAGCTTCCACCTGGCTGACATTGACTCGGGGCGGAATGTCTTCATTGTTGGCTTCTCCATCTTCATGGCTCTGCTGTTGCCAAGATGGCTTCGGGAAGCTCCAGTCCTGCTGACCACAGGTGGGAGGAGGGGGAGGGATGGAAAGAGGAATTGGACAGACCTGGGAAAACAAGAGCTGGAGGCTTGGGGCTCTCTGGACTCCAGGTCCCACACCCTTTTCTGGGCTTTGGTGTAAATAGTTCAGCCATTTGTTTAACAGATATTTATTGAGCACCAGTCTAGCCTCTTGGGATACAAAGGTGCCTCCAGGTGTTACAGTCCAGTAAAATAAATAAGATATGTACAAACGTAATAGCAAAGGTTCAGATAAGGAGTGCTGGTGGTGAGAGAGAGAGAGTTTCTGTTTGAGATTATCCAAGTTAAGTTTTATGGAGAAAGTAACATTGAGCTGGTTCGAAGGATGGCAAGATTTGAACATATTTAGTGAGAGTAAGTGCATTTCCGGTGGGGGAACCATCAGAAACCGCGACCTAGATGTAGGAAGTGATTGGGTATTTCCAGGGAGGAGCAAAGACCTTAGTTTGTTAGTGCAGCCTAGCTAATAGCAGTGGCACTCAACTGAGGAGGATTTTGCCCCACAGGGAATATCCAGCAATATCCAGAGACATTTTTGGTTGTTACAAACAGAAGAGGGGATTGTTAGTAGCATTTAGTGGGTACAGGGAATGCTGCTAAATATCCTACAATGCACAGGTCAGGCCCCCTCAAACAAAGAATTATCTGGTCGAAAATGTCAGTAGTACTGAGGTTGAGAAAACCAGGCTAGAGCATAGAAGGTAAGAGGTTAGGAAGTAGGGGGCGCCTGCGTGACTCAGTCGGTTAAGTGTCTGCCTTTGGCTCAGGTCATGCCTTTGGGATGGAGCCCCACATCGGGCTCCCTGCTCAGCAGAGTTTGTTTCTTCCTCTCCCTCTGCCCTTCTGCCTGCTTGTGCACACTCTCTCTCTCCAATAAATAAAATCTTAAAAAAAAAAAAAAGTGGGAAGTAAGGTTGGGGTTTGCTTTTTTTTTTTATTTTTTAAAAAGATTTTATTTATTTGACAGAGAGAGACAGCGAGAGAGGGAACAGAAGCAGGGGGAGTGGGAGAGGGAGAAGCAGGCTTCCCGTGGAGCAGGGAGCCCGATGTGGGGCTCGATCCCAGGACTCTGGGATCATGACCTGAGCCGAAGGCAGATGCTTAGCGACTGAGCCACCCAGGCGCCCCTGGTGTGCTTTTATTTATTTATTTTAAAGATTTATTTATTTTTATTTTAAAGAAAGAGGGTGCTAGTGGGGGGAGGGGCAGAGAGAGAAGGAGAGAGAGAGGGATTCCTCAAGCAGACTCCCCACTGAGCAGGGAGCCTGATGCGGGCTTGATCCCCGGACCCTGAGATCATGACCTGAGCCGAAACCAGGAGTCAGCCGCGTAACCAACTGAGCCACCCAGTCACCCCATGGTTGGGGCTTTTAATACCAAACTTTACAGAGCCTGCAACTACCAAAACATATCTGGAGGGCATGTGGATACTCAGAAGACAGGATGATGGGCTGGGATCTTGTGGAAAGGGCCTGGGTGGTGGAAATAGAGAGTAGGGGGACAAAGATAGGGGAAGATGGGGTAACAGTTCAGAAAGATCTGTTCTTAGCCCAAGACTTAGATTTAGGCATAGAAATTATAAGACTCATTGACCCTGCACAGGATCAGAGTTCCCCTCCTGCCTGGCCCCAACTCTCTGTAGGTTGGAGCCCCTTAGATGTGTTACTGCGCTCGCTGCTCACGGAGCCCATCTTCTTGGCAGGACTCTTGGGCTTCCTCTTAGAGAACACCATTCCTGGTAAGTTGAGGCCAGGCCCCAGCACAGTGGGGAGTAGCCAGGTGCTACTCACTCCCTGGGTGGGGCAATGACCTGACCAACCTTTCTCTTGCAGGCACAAGGCTTGAGCGAGGCATAGGTCAAGGGCTGCCATCTCCTTTTGCTGCCCAAGAGGGTCGGCTGCCTCAGAAGTTCAGGGAGAAAACTGCCAAAGAGTATGAACTTCCTTTCCCCATCCATAACTTGCGTCCCTACATCCCTCAGCCCCTCCGTTGCCTCTGCCCACTGCCTGAAGACCCTGGGAATGAGGAAGGAGGGCCCTCTGAGCCAGGAGAGACAGCCGACTTGTTGCCTGGCTTTGGGGAGCAGTGTCCTGAGTCTAGAAGAGAACTTGGGTCCCAGTGATTACCAGGACTCCTAGTCCTGCCCTGGTTAGTTTACCCTATCTCCCAGCTTGCTGGAGAGTGAGCTCCCGGGTTCTAATTTCTTCCAGGAAGAAGGTGTGTGTGTGTGTGTGTGTGTGTGTGCGCGCGCGTGAAATGGGCCCACCTAATGGTCTCATTTCCCGATGGGTGTGTTGCCTTTCCTTCTCTTAATTAGGCCTAGCTGTTCCAGGCAGGGGCCATGGTTTAGTGGGCAATGATTGAATGAATGAGATTCTGCATGTGAACTATCTATGGTCAAACCCCAGCATTTACTTAACAAATATTTATTGAAGGCCTCCCACCGTGCAAGGTTCTGGAACTACAGTTATGGATAAGACAGGGTCCCTACCCTCTTAAGGCACCTACCATTTAAAAAGACCTATGTAATTACTACTAAAATCTAAGGCAAAAGGCAGTCTATAATAAAGATTAAAACAATGCTATGGGAGCAAAAAGGAAGAAACAATTAATTCTGATTGTGGACAGTGGCAAACAAAGGCTGTATGAAAGAAGCAGCACCAAGGCTGGCCTTGACAAGTGGAAAGCAGATGGGGAGAATATTTCAAGCTCAGGTATCCAGCTGGAGCAAAACCATAAATTGTGCAAAGCAGAAAATGAGCTGAGGGATTTCAAGTTTCTCCATGGTGATGGAGCATAAATATGGGGCTAAATGGAAGGAGAAATGAGACAGGAGAAAGGATGAGGTGAGACCATGGGATTTATGCATGGAAGGATCCTCTCTGAAACAATTTGAGTGCTGGTGAGGACCACAGAGATTAGTGAAGTTCAACCTCCTCATTTTATTTATTTATTTGTAAAGATTTTATCTATTTATTTGGGGGGGAGGGGCAGAGGGAGAGGGAGAAGCAGACTCCCTGCTGAGCAAGGAGCCCCACCACGGGGCTGCATTCTAGGACCCTGAGATCATGACGTGAGCTGAAGGCAGCCGCTTAGCCGACCGAAGCAGGCAGGCGCCCCTCACTTTATTTAAAACAAAACAAAACAAGTGGTTGGACAGGTAGGGGAGGGAAGTGATCCAAGTTTACTGACAAGTCCAAATCCAGAGCCCCCTCTCCCGCACCTCCTCTGGCATTCTTTCTACTCCGCCAGCGCGACTCCGAGGGGCGCCACCACCACCCCATCTCCCTAGCAGCGGATCGCCCAGCCCTCTTCCCGCTCCCCTGGGCGCGGGGGGCCCCCCAGCTCTGAGTGCTCCTTCCAACAGCTGTGAGGGCCCAGATGCCCCGCCCACGCCGGGCCTGGGCTCCGCCCCTCTGTCCCGAAAGGCCTCTACTCTAGGCCTTTCGGTTTGCGCGGGCCGGCCCGCTGCGGGGAGGGGCGGGAGCTCTGGCGGCCGCTCACGGTAGGTGGCGTGGGGTTCGAATCGGGGCCGGGACCCGGGCCGGGGCCGGGCGGCGAGGGGCCGCGGGGACCCCGCGGGCGAGCGGGAACCGGCGCTTGCCCCCGGAGCTCCGGCAGGCCTCCGGGTGGGCGGGGCGCGTGCGCCGCGCGTGCGCAGCCCGCCTTCCGACGGCGAGGCGGGCCTTGTGAGGCTACTCCTTGGCAGACTCCTTGGTGCTACAAAGCAGCAGGTGGTCGGCTTTGCTAACCCCGAGGGGTCTGGAGCTGCGTCTCGGTGCGGCCGGTGCTGTCGAAGCCTGACGGCGGAGGCCCTCGCAGTGAGGGCGGGTGGAAGCTACGCCAGGCGGGGCTCCTGGGGTGGGGCTGTGGTTAGGCGAGCGAGGGTTGGTCCCCACCAGAGGGACGGGGCGTGGCCCAGCCCGGACGGTCGCTGGGGCCTTGCTGCCCTCTGCAGGACGACGGGGGAACTGCGCCGAGAGAGGAGCTCGGCCGAGGGGCGGGACTCCGTGCAGACCCGGGTTCTCGGGCGACCTCCTGTTGGCCCTCGGCGCTTCCCCGCTTCATTCAAGAATAAACGAGTGAATCTAGTTAATGTGACGGTTAAAGGCGGCCTTGAAGGGGGGAAAAAATGAGATACAGAGGCCTTGGACTCAACAGGACGCCTTTGGTGGAAGCAGCCAACGCCAGGTCTGGTGCTGAATGTTTCAGATCTTCCTATGGGGCCCGTTGATCCTGAGCACATTTTAAATCCCTCTCCCGCCCCCCAGACAGGACAAAAAACAACCATACAGTTTGAGGGTTTTGAGCTCCCAGGCTTTCCAAAGTGACGGGCCAAGATAATCAACCCAATTTAGGGCACTCTTACAGGACGCACTGCGGAGTGCCTACACTGGCGACTTCTCTTGTTCCCTCGCATTTGTGACCTTTGGCAATGTGGAACTCGAGTGAGGGCTAGCTTAATCATTCCAAGATCTCCCCGTGGGAGCAGCTCATGGGAAGCGACTGACGTCCCATCCCCCAAACGCAAGGTTTTGAGGCTGCTGCAAATAAAAATCGCAATATGTATTTACGTTTTATCCAACTATTGACTGCACAATTTTGTTACAAGGCCACACTTCAAAAGTTAGGTTATGGTTGGAAGAATGACGGCTTAGACCGTGATGGAAATGACTGGAGGAACAGAACCGTGTTAATCATGTGAAGGAAATCCAAGGAATTTCATTATCTTCTTTATGTTCTAAGGTGCTTCCCTCACCTCACTTTGTATTTATAGACTGAAATAATGAAGGAAATAGTATCACTCCCTCCCCCCCCCCACAGGAAAAATGATCAAACTTCCTGTAAAGTAGCTTTAGTTACTGAACATCTACTAGGTTAAGACTACAAATTTTGTTGAACTAGAAAAGTTGGTTCCCAGGAGTTCCAGGAGGTATAGCAGGGCATGATGTCACTGATGGCTGTACCTTGGGTTAGCGATATATAGGGGATGAGCGAAGTGGAAGTTAATTAATTGTTTCTATCTCTGTGAAATGCTGTGCCTTGTGTTTATGGCGTCTTAGTCATCTACGTTCCTGAAATGGGATTTGGGGCTTCTTTGTTTGCTTCTGGACATAGAATTTGTTAGCTCTTTATTTGTGTGTCATTGATCCCTTTGAGAGTTTGACACAGCTGTGGACCTCTTCCTCCCGAATGGCTATCTGCACGTATGCACAGATTTTTGTCTATAATTCCAGAGGATTCATCTGCATAGACTCTAGATTAAGAATCCCTGTCTTTGGGAATGTATATATCTATGTTCATATAAATATTTATATTTGAAAATCTGAGATCTTCTAGTTTTATTTCTAGATAATGATCAAATAATTTGAATTTCCTGCTCATGACACTTACGACTTACGATGTTTTATAAGACAAGAACTATTCCTTCTCTTCTAGAAGTTCTGGGAAAGGGTAACATTGGCATATTTATTAGGAATGTGATAAAGATACAACAAGAATGGTTTAGGTTTCCACAGTAAGTTATATTGTTAGAAAGCAGAAATACTGAGACCAATATGCTGAGACTTAAACACTATAGAAGAGAGATATTTTATGCCCTTTAGGAACTTAATTTGAAAAAATAAATTAAAATTCTAAATAGATTTTTAGTGGCCAGGAGGTAGTAAGGTCGGTGCCCAGCTGGTTATATGGGAGACAGGGGATGGGCGAGGGTTGTGTGTGTGCGTGGGGGGGGGTAAAATGTAAATCCATGCCTTCTGTCTTATTAGGGAGGGGTCCTTCATAAGACTTATTTGCTATGGGACTCTTTGTGTGGTGCCCCTGTCCCCAGGCCTACAGTACCTTGGGGCACTTTCCTAAATCCAGACTCTTCTGCAGATGGAGAAGCTGGAGCAAGGCCTGTTGATGCAGCCATGGGCCTGGCTACAACTTGCTGAGAACTCTCTCTTGGCCAAGGTGTATATCACCAAGGAGGGGTATGCCTTGCTGGTTTCAGATCTTCAACAGGTGTGGCATGAACAGGTGGATGCTTGTGTGGTCAGCCAGCGAGCCAAGGTAAGCGTGAAGAGAAGTTCTGCTGCGGGGCGGTAGTGGATATAATTTCTGTCTTAGTGCAGGTCAGGGTACATTTACATCAGCCAGCTTGCTGGTCTGTAGGTTGCCAGGGGAGGTGGAATCAGGTTCAGACAATTCTAATGAATGTCCTGCCCTTCTACCTAAAGCCCTGGGATCTTTCTCTTTTTTTTTAAGATTTTATTTATTTATTAGAGAGAGAGAGAGAGAGAGAACTAGTTGGGGGAGGGGTGGAGGGAGAAGCAGACCCTGCTGAGCAGGGAGCCGGACGAGGGAATCCATTCCAGGTCCCTGGGATCATGACCTGAGCCCAAGGCAGATGCTCAACCATCTGAGCCACCCAGGCACCCCACCCCCGGATCTTTCCATATCGTTGTCTGATGTTAGTTTTTGCACTGCATTTAGTACAAGGTAGGATTGTAAAGTAGGCCAGTCGCTCTCTCGTTTTGTTTTCTTCTTTCCTGTTTCCTTGTTTTTATCTTCCCTTCCTCTCAAGCCCACTGTCTTCATGTTAGCCAGAGTTCTCCTTTGCTGTAATTTAGGGGGGAGTCTGTTTCCTTTTCGCACCCTTACTCGGTACAACTCCCACTGTCTTTTTAGGAGCTGAACAAGCGCCTGACTGCCCCCCCTGCGGCTTTCCTCTGTCATTTGGATGATCTGCTTCAGCCGTTGTTGAAGGGCACAGCTTGCCCCAGCAAAGCTACCTTTGTCTGTGATCGTGTGGCCGAGGCACTGATCCTGCGCGTACGGAGTGAGCTCTCTGGTCTCCCCTTTTATTGGAATTTCCACTGCACCCTAGCCAGCCCTTCCCTGGTGAGTGTAATTCAAATGTGGAGTGGGGCAGGGGACTGCCAGCTGCTTTGAGATGAATCCTTAGGTGCTCTTATTTTTTTGTGGACTCTGTTTGAAACTCTTCTTCAGTTGGAAAACTTTCCTTGACTGGACAGAAGGCAGAACGGATTCTTGGCTGGTACATCCTTTCTTTGCAAAGGGAGCAAAGGTGAAGTTTTGGTTTACCTGCTTTCTTGGGTGTCTTTCTTCATTATTTAATATTTATTAAGCATCTACTGTGGGCTAATTGTTGGGTGTCCAGAATCTAAAGCAATATAGCCTATTCCTGGAGTCCATTATCGAGTGAGAAGACAGACAGGGAACAGGATAAAGTATGATAAATTCTTGATTGAGGTAAGCTCAGGATGACTGGAGGTCTGAAAAACCTTTTTGAAGAGAGAGGTTTTTTGTTTTTGTTTTTTTTTTAGAGAGGGGGAGAGAGGTGGTGGGAGGGGCAGAGGGAGAGAGAGAATCTTAAGCAGACTCCACACCCAACAGGGAGCCCAACGTGGGGCTGGATCTCACAACCCTGAGATCATAACCTGAGCTGAAATCGAGAGTTGGATGCTTAACCAACTGAGCCTACCAGGCACCCCATTGAAGAGATAGTTTCTGAGCTGAGTTCTGGAGATGAGTAGGAACTCATTGGGAGAAGATCAGGAGGTCATTCTAGGCTAGAGTGCATTTTGAGAGGTGGGGAGATGTATAAGTGTGGGGCCAGTGGGGGAATTTCATGACTGCAGAGATTTGTGGGAAATGAGGTAGGCAGTGACCAGATTTTGAGGGATTCTAATGAGTTTGGATTTTATCCTAAAGGCAACAGGGATTCACTGAAAAACTTTAAGCAGGCGTTTAGCATGATCCAATTCGTAGTTTATCAAGAGCAGTCTGGCCACAGGGTAGAGCATGTACCAGCATTAGGTACGTACCTTTCTGAACATTTCTTGTCACTGAATCCTCACGACTGTCCTGCAAGATAAGTAGTATTGTTCCCTGTTTTCAGAGTAGGAAGCTGAAATTGAAGGCAATTTGTCCAAAGTCCTGCGACTTTAAATGAATGAGCGAGAATTTTACTCCCAGATAGGTCTGATTCGAGAGCCCATTTTCAGGGACTAGGAGGATAATGTTTTCTGCTCACTAGTAGCTTTCTAGGCCCCTGCAGCTTTTATTAGAAATTAGTTTGAGGGATGCCTGGGTGGCTTAGTCGGTGACGCATCTGCCTTCAGCTCAGGTCATGATCCCAGGGTCCTGGGATCGAGCCCTGCATCAGGCTCCCTGCTCAGCTCCCTGCTTCTCCCTCTGCTCTTCCCCCCACCCCCTGCTCATGCTCTCTCTGATAAATAAATAAATAAATAAAATCTTTTTTTTTTAAAGATTTTATTTATTTATTTGTGAGAGAGAGAATGAGAGAGAGAGAGAGAGAGCATGAGGGGGGGAGGGTCAGAGGGAGAAGCAGACTCCCCGCCGAGCAGGGAGTCCGATGTGGGATTCGATCCCGGGACTCCAGGATCATGACCTGAGCCGAAGGCAGTCGCTTAACCAACTGAGCCACCCAGGCGCCCATAAATAAATAAAATCTTAAAAAAAAAAAAGAAATTAGTTTGAGAATAAACAGTACGAACTTGTTTGCAGGAATTACTGCCACTGGTCCGTTCCACCCTTTTATACAAACAGAGCTTGTTTCAGTCAGTAGCATTAGAGGCTGGGGTCTTCTTTGGGAGGCCTAAAGGTGTAGGTTTATCAGCCGAAGGGCCTGAAGACAAGTGGGCATCATTTCCTATATCCCTTCTCTAGTTTTCTGGAGGTGATGTGTTGTTTTGGAATCAACGGGGTGGATGGGGAAAGTGTTTTTTGAGAAACTCTTCTCTGGTGGATTTTTTTTTTTTTTTAAGATTTATTTATTTCTTTTAGAGAGTGAGAGTGGTGGGGAGAGGTGGAGGGAGAGGGAGAGAGAGTCTCAAGCTCTCTGCTGCACTGAGCGCAGAGCCCAACGACGCGGGGCTTGATGCCAGGACCGTGAGATCATGACCTGAGCTGAAACCAAGGGTCAGAGATACAAACCCTCCCACCGAGGTGCCCTTCTGGTGGATTTTTGATCTGGAACCCAATAAAGCTGGAGAACTACTTCTCATTCATCTCTGAATTTCTAAGGTCCATCAACAGTGTTTAGCAGATAATAGTTTTGATATCTGTTGATTTTAATTGAGTTTTTTTGTGAAATTTTCCATCCTTCTTTAGTCTACCTCTTTTGTTCAAAACCCTGTAACTTTTTCTAAGTTACACCAGGGGGCACTGTTCCCTCAATAATGCTTGTTCTAGGGCCAAACCCTTTGGGCCGCCCCAGGGAAGTCCTAGCAATAGCTGGTCTTGCTTTGCATCATACAGCCCTAGAAATTCAGAACAGTGAGACTGAGGAGGTAGTTCCCCTAGGAGGCTGATGGGCTCTAATAGTTTTTTTTTCCCCCAAGATGATAAAGAACACTTGTATAATGAGCTTATAATAGAAAATAATATATAAAGGGAAAACTAGCCATTCTAGGCAAATTCCTCTAACTGGGCAGCCACAATAAGAAAAGAAGCATCAGTGTTTGGAGTGGAATGAGTCCTGGTTGGCCACGGGGAGAAGTGAACATTGAGCAGTTGGTGAACAATTAGGCTTTAAGATAAAATAAAATACTTATTATTAAAAAAAGAAGAAAGCCAGCCCAGGGAAACCCCTGAGCCTGAGGAGGCTTTACAGGGGGAAAAGTTAGAGCCAGCGGACACTGTCAAGGATGTAGGCGGATACTATTTCAGGCTGGTGTGTGTGTCTGTGAGGTCACACAGTCATAATTTTTGTTTGTTACTCATTCTTGTGATAGTTTTTATTTCATTTTTTTTCAATGAGTAATTCATGCAAAGAGCAAACATTTCAAATAGCATTGAAGCAGGGTCTAGAGTAGAAAAAGTAGGTCCTTCTACTCTCTCTAGTCCCTCGTTTTCCCTCTTTAAAGCAACTGATACCATCTCCTTGTGCATTCTTAAAGAAAGCTGTATGTAGGTTTGTATATATGTGAGTGTGTATATATTTACACAGTCAAATACCTATCTGGGCATATGTATGCCTCTTCACAAATGGCAGCATGCTATCCACACTGTTCAGTAGCTTGCTCTTTTCACTTAATTATAGAACTTAGAAACCATTCATAGCAATATATTTAGAAGGTCTGCCTTAATATTCATTACTGGCAACTTAGAGCCTTATTTGATGCATATATCAACATGTATTTAATTGGCAAACTACCAGTGAACACCTAAGTTGTTTCCATTCTTTTGTTAGTACATGTAGTGACTATTCTTGCATTTATTTTTCCTAAGTATAAATGTATGAGTAAATGCCTAGCAATGGAATAGCTGAATCAAGGAATATTTGGGGGCGCCTGGCTGGCGCAGTCGGAAGAACATGCGACTCTTGATCTCGGGGTCGTGAGTTTGAGCCCCACACTGGGTGTAGAGATTGCTGAAATAAATAAATAAATAAACCTTTTTTTTTTTTTTAAAGGACTATTTGTATGTTTAATCCTGTTCACATGATGCCAGATTGTCTTCCAGAGAGATTGCACATCTAAACTCCTACCAGTCATGCAGGAGAGTAGGAGAGTTCAGCCTGTGGTGGGTTCACGCTAAGTTCTCAAGGCTGTGCAGGATAGCATGGGATAGCTAAGGCCTCGGGTCTCTGCTTTCTAGCCCATTTCCACTTCCAGCCAGCTTCCTTTGTCCCTTCGTCCTCCTCACTGTTCTTCCCAGGATCTGATGTAATTCTTTGGTGTTATTGCTGTTGTCTTTCTTTTCCTAATGTAATTCTTGATATCCCATGTTTTGACTTTCAAATTTGGCCATTTTATAATTTCTAGGAGTCACAGCCAAAGGTTTTTTTGTGGCAGGAAGAGCCCACAGGCTTTGGAGCCGGCAGGACTGATTTGTAACTTAGCTCTACAACTTTGACTATTTGTATTACCTGGGATAAGTCATTGAATTTTTATGAGGCTTGGTGTCATCATCTGTAAAGTGGAGGCACCAGTCCCAACCTTACTGTGGAATCCTGGGAATTAAAGACAAGACCATACATAGTATTACTTAACTTCAGCATTATTGTGAACCTTTGAGAGCAAATACTCCGACTCCCTGATTTTTCCTTGAAAAAGATAAGGGCCACAAGAGCACTTGGGATTAAGCCATTTTCACATCTGGGTGCTCTCATAGCCAGGGCTAGAATCTAGATCTAATTCCTAGTCTGGTTGCCCTTGTCACTATATCCAAACCTGATAGAATTCATCTCGGGATTGGTAACTGCCATTCAACTCTCCTTCCTCTGACTTGTCCACATTTCAATGGGAAATCTGCAGACATTGAGGGATGTTATAAATAGATTTCCTCTGGAAAAGATTGGAAACTCCTGCCTCTATATCCATCACACTTCCTGACCTCCTTAACTGTTGTGAGCTCTTTGGGGGCAGACGACTCACAGGGTCACAGTATGTTTTAGGTACACAGTAGGTATTTGTTGAATTGACTTGTGAAACTGCAACTCTTCATATATCATTGTCTTTAAATGAAGGGGTAGGGGTCTTCCCGACCTCCTGAAGTGCTTCAAGCTTTTTCCTTGTAGTGTTTGTGGATTTGCTTTGAAACCCATTACTTCAGCCACATGCCTTGTCCTAATTAACTGATCTAAGTTAGTGTGTTAGTGTGCATCTAACTTTGAAATGAGTTATACCCCAATGATTCAAAGTAGTGTAACCCAATTCTAGGAAATTATTTGAGAAGTTGAAATATTTACGGATAGTTTTTGTTTTGTTTTGTTTTTGCTGTATAGACATTGGAGTCTGATAGATAACTTCCGGTGCCTGGCGTGGCATTACCATATTTAATTAGACATGGCATTGATTAAAAACTTTCTCAATATGTTCCATGTGGTTAGATTTACCACCACTCAAAGAGATCGCTGGTAAGGTGGATTCCCAGAGAGAGGCTGGTTGTCACCTTTAGGAATTTCTGAATTTGAGGGCTGTCACCAGAGGGATGGTGATGCTGCTTGGTTACCAACTGCGATTACTTTCAGCTCACTCCTCCAAACACTGACTTGCTTTCATCCGAGGATTTCCCTATTTTTCCTCCTGATCTCCCTCGAACAGGACCAAACCTAACCAAACAATTCCTAGGAAAGAGGGTTGGGTCTGGAGCAGATGAATTTTCCCAAAGCAGAACTTTGGCCGCATTTTGAGCAGTACTTCCTGGAGGCTTAAGTTTATCCTAAGGACCTGCATTGGGTACCAGGACCAGCTTGGGATGTGCTTCGTGATGGAAAGAAGTGATGGGTATTTACAGCTATGTTTGATTTTCGGCCTCCTACTCTGCGTCAGTAACCCTGAATATGTCGGGTCTTGGTGGTGGTACAGAAGCTGCGGGCTCTAACCCTTACCACCCCCCCCGCGCCCCCCCCCCAATCTCTTCTCTTCTGATCTGTCCTTAGAGAAGCATGGGGCTGGGTGGACTATGGCCAGTGGGCCAATTCTGGTTTGCTGCCAATTTTTCTGAAGTTCTATTGGAAACCCACCACGCTCATTTATTATATGTTGTCTATGGGCGCTTTCATGCTATAGCAGCAGAGTTGAGTTTTTTGACAGGGCCTGTAGGGGCCACAGAGCTGAAAATATTGACTCCTTGGCCCTATGCAGAAAATGTTGCTGACCTCTGATCTAGGGCATTTCTTCTTAGTGCCTCCTTGAGCTCATCTCCTTGGGGCAAGGGAAAGGAACCCCGATAGCATCCACTAGTCACAAAGAGATTATTGATTCTAGTTATTTTCTTTGGCTAAGGCTTTTTGCTTTCTTCGGCTACTGGACAGCTTGTGTGGGTGAATTAAGTGCTTATTCTCCACAGCTATATGTTATTATATGAGGACACCACCCTAGCTGCTCAGCAGCGTGGCAATGCTTGTGTCCTTACCTTATTAAGAGCAAGGTGTGCTGGTGTGGTTTATTCCTTCCTAGGCTGGCCTCTCGGTGACTGGCTGGCTTCTGTCACAGTGACCTCAAACTTTGCTGCCTTCCTGGGAGCCGATTGAAACTCTGGGCTCATTCTGGGCTATCATCAGCCCTGAAATGGTTCGTAATCAGTGTCTGGGTCTAATTTGAGACTGATTCCCAGGCTCTCTACTCTGTTGATTTTTGTCTTCTAGTATGCTCTAGCCAGCACACTCTGTTTTAGCCACGCCTACTTTCCTGAAGGCTACTTGGATCTTCTGCTTTTGTCTCTCAGTCTCTGCGGAGAGTTGAAGCAACACTTTTCTCTTATCAGTTCTGTCACATCCTTCTCTTTAAATCACCACTCCAGGCTGCCTATCCATGTGTTCTCCCCTATTCTCCCCACCCTTTTATGTATGCTACAAAGAAAACCCTTGAACTTATTTCTCCTACCTATTTGATTATTGTATTATTAGAGTCATGCAAATGGGTTGCTTGCTTATGAAACCGTAAGTCCCTATGAAAACATTTATTTTTCAGTATTTTTCTAGTTCCTAATACAGTACTCTGTGTCTGTTGGCTGATTGATATCTCTTCCATGAAAGGTCTCCCAGCATTTGATTCGTCCTCTCATGGGCATGAGCCTGGCCTTGCAGTGCCAAGTGAGGGAGCTAGCAACTGTGCTGCATATGAAAGATCTAGAGATCCAGGACTACCAGGAGAGTGGGGCTGTGCTGAGCCGAGGTGAGAGGGCATTCTTTGGGGTGTTGGGTAGGGAGTGGTACAGATGGTCAAAGGGCCTCAGAAAAGGGGAGAGGCATCTGCATTAGAGGTGTGCTTCCCCGAGGAGATGCTGGGTACTGACCATAACTGGAGACTTGATGCCGGGTGACACTTCTCTCTGCCTTGAGGACCTGGCTGGCACCCAAGTGACCAATAGAAGCTATAACTGAGTCCAGCCATGCCCTAGGCAATGGCAAGGAAAGACTTTGGAAAAGGGCCAACAGCTGTATAAAACTGTGGGAGGGCAACACGCACTTGGGACCTTCCGAAGCATAGTTCCTGCTTCAGAATAAAAATTTAGTTCTACCTGCATCTTTGTGGCAGGAAGAACATGTCCTGTGTTGCTGATCACTCTCTCCTCCTCCTCCTGTTTGTCACACACTCTCATCCCTTCTCCCACTGGACTCTGGGTGTGGCATGTGTATGCTCCCTCCCAAGAAATCTCGGGCTCTGTTTCTTTTCCTTCTCACAGGCAGGAAACTCATCCTAAGACTAATATTTCTTTTCTGTATCCCTTCTTATTATAGATCGGTTGAAGACAGAGCCATTTGAAGAAAATTCCTTCTTGGAACAATTTATGGTAGAGGTAGAGTATATCACGATAAAGATTGCCTTTCTCCTTGTGCAGCTTTGCTTTATTTTCTCTTTCCAGGTGCCTGAGTAGTGACTTGCGTTTTGGGTGTTAGCCGGCTTGCGTGGTTGGAAAGTCCTTTCTCTGAAAAAGTTGCCTATAGAAAATCTGATAAAACTTGAGATGCCCATGGGGGAGATGGGGTGAAATAGGGGGCAAGAATATAAAAGGCGAAAGTGGGCTGGTCAGCATTTGTAGAAACATCTCTGTTCACGTACCTAGGAATTTCATTTAGAATTCCCTGAGCTTGGAAAGTTTGGTTGACCAGTTGATCAGTTTTTGCTTGTTGAGATCTGATCACAGGTCTGGATTGTGGAGCAGGGGGGCTGGTCATTATTACTTGTCTGGGCCCCTCCAACATCCCGCAGCAGAGGAAGGTGAAAAGCACAGGGTTACCATTTGGGAACTGTCTTGTGGGCACAGTAGGCTGTGGAAAATCACAGTGTTTATACAAGGGGCCTGGCAAAGGAATGAATGGGGAGTAGATAATTGTGGCCTGTCAGAAGCTCCTGCCTAGGTTTCCCTTCTAAGGATTGAACTTGGCCAAAAGAAACATCTATTAAATGCCAAACAGGGGGAGTATTAATAATAGTGACCTTTGATAATACCAGTCAATATTGATCTTCTTCTTCTCTAACTCTTTTAGGACTTGTTGGTTGTACAGTTAGTACCTTAGTATTATTGCCCTTTTTTCTAATTATACGTGTGACCCAAGTTGGTACTTTACTATGTAAGCAAATAATGCTATTATAATATCATGTTCTGTATAGATTATTCATATTTCTGTCTTGTCATCTAGGCTACTTTGTGAACCCCTTGTGGACAGGGACTGACTCATATTTCTTTTGAACATGAAATTAATATTTTTCCCAGGGCTCAGCAGAAAACAGGTGTTCTTGACTTGGAACCTTCTGTTCTGCCTCTGTGCATTGGCTGAACAAAGACGCCATCATGCTTGGGGTCTTAACACAAAGAACAAAAAATGCAAGTTGCGTGCTCAGTCCATCTACTGAAGCAATCTAACCCTGGAGAAGAAGGAAAGGGTGCACTGTTATGTCTTGAAGTAGAATAGATTTCAAGTCTTTATGGGGAAAGAGAGACCATTAAACCTAGACTTGCCACAGAGAGATTTCCTCGGCCATTTTTCTGTCAGTTAGCTTCCTCTGTCTGTAAGTGTAGGTATTAAGGAGGTTAACATAGGCTGGGGATGACATGCTGATTCCCTGCCTCAGCCCCTTAGTGAAACAATGCAAGACTTACTCTTAGCCCAGCAGAGAGGTCCCTTCCTGATCTGGTGCCCACAGACCTCTCTAGCTTGGTTTCTTGACATTTTTCATTATGAACTTTATGCTCCAAGTCACAGAAAATGACTTTGAATTGCCATAATGCCTTCCTCTAGCCTTTATGTCCTGCCACACATTGTTCACTTTATCTATAACGCCCAATGCCCTGGCCTTATCTACCTCGTAAACTTCTATTAATCTTTTAAGTGTCAGCTTTGGCTTCTTTGGGAGGCCTTTCCAGACTCTCCTTGTAAAGATAATCCTTCTTCCCTGCTGCTATAGTGCCTTGGTTCCTACCTCCGTTTTACCACTTATAACTTTGTGATAGATATTGCTGTTTATAGGTCTGCGACACTATGCCTTTCTCCTCCATTGATCTATGAATGATTTGAGGACAAGGACTGTGTCAAATGCATTTCTGTGTCCCCAGCACCGAACAGAGTGCCTAGGAGTAGTAGGTTCTCTATAAGTTTGTCGACGAAGATGTTGATAAACCTGTGCTGGGGGAAGTTTCACGAAAGTTGGAGCGGTGTGACCTGTGGATACGGTCCTGCTTGTGATGCTTGTATTTGGGGTCTTTGGTTATTCTTCTGGTTTATTTTCCAGCTTTGGATGAATCAGTGTTCCCAGAGCCTCTGTTTTCTCATTTGTAAAATTGGAGGCTCATCTCTTCCATGCTTCTGGGGCAGGGGGCAACCCCACAGAGTCGAATGACATAGTGGCATATAGAATCCTGGTGCCAACCCAGGAGGCGTACTGGTGTTTTGGAACCAATTACGTCAGGAATACTGGTCTTCAAAGTCCTTGGGCGGATCACACCGAAACCACAGAGACTTACAGAATTTTATGTATCTGCAAAGGATCTGAGAGACAGGTAGCTACAGTTTTCCGTTTCATAGACTAAGACATTGGGCCTCAGGCAGGGTCAGTGACTTGCCTAAGGTCATGTTGCTGTAGCCGGACATTTGGGGCCCTCTTCCATTTCTTGTCTGGGATCATCCCTGTTTTGTTCTGCCGCTCTAACGGGTTATACACACCAATTAGAGGAGGGTTAAGGGCTAGGATAGTGTGGAATTCTTGCGATCTCCGGGATCACTGCACCGTCCTCTGGGATCACAGACTGTCCTGCATAGCTGCTAGAACCTGCTTCCTTGTGGGACTACAGAATTTCTTGGCCACTGCACCTTTTCAGTTACTCTGCTTGTCTGGGGTCCTACAAACAGGACACAGAAGGGTCATGGGGTCACCCAAGACAGCTGAAAGGATGTGCCATCAAAATAAGCAACATAGGAAGATAAACAAACCAGGGACAGAGAGCCCAGGATGAAGGTGCAGGGGGGCCAGGGCTGATGTCAGAGGGGCCATGCGGTCAGTGCTGGGGTCTGTTTTTCCTGGTTCTAGGCGAGAGGCCACAGAGATAGGGCACGGAGGGCAGTAGGACAGGGAGGTTTCTAGGATACTAAGGCCAGGAAAAATATTTAAGGGTTGAACAGGGGTTACGTCTTCATATTTACTTCTTTTGTTTTTTCATCCCTCCCCTCCTTAGAGCCTTGGATTTCGCATTTCCAGGGAGCCCAAGGGGGCCAGTCGATGGTGGCCTGACTGGAGGGGGCAACCTGGAAGTGTTCTTCGAGTCGGCTGGGCGGAGTGGCTTCTGGCATGATCTTCATAGAGGGAAGATTCCCCATAGAGAGCATCTCCTCGGACTGGGGGCTGGGAGGCACTGTTCGGAGTGGGAGATGAGTCAAGGATTCAGGGACTATAACTGCATTGCCCAGGAACTGTGTGAGAGAAGTTTAGGAGGATGGGGCTGGCATGGCCCTCTCTCACTCTGGTCCACTGGAGGGAGTTCCTTACCCTGGCCGTGTCCATGCCTTCCCCCTCTCCATCTGGTTGCCATCAGGCTCTGTGGCTGCTGGCGGGCTCTTTATTTATTTATCCCAGTGTAATGGGGTGAGGAGGGAGCTGGCCTGAGGCTGGCATTCCGAGGCCATGCCACTGAGCCACAGGCGGTTTGCATGGGTGTGTGAGTCACTGGGGCTGCATGCTGCTCAAACCAGACGCGGCCAGGCTCAGGGACAGCAAGCAGCCCAAAATAGAGCCCCGCCCTCTGCAGCTGGCAACCCCTGGCCAGGAATCAGCCCTTGACACCAAAACCTGAGCAGTTGCGTGAAGTTGGCTTCCTTAAGCGGTGGGGGGAGGGGGGCCTTAACAGCGAGATTCTCTCCTTCCCTGTCTTCAGAGGAGAGTATTCAGCACAGCAATCATTCCCATTGCTGCATGCTGCAGGCCTTGTCCGATTTAATCTGTTCAGTGTAATACCATCACCAATTTCTATCATATAGTTACAGTTATAGAACTATAGTTGACACTGATTTGACTCAGCATCCTAAATGTAGCCACGGCCTTTGTGCCCTGTCTAGTTTTAGTTACTGTCTTCATTCCCTGTCCAGTTGCAGCCTGATGCTAGAGTGGAGACTTGAAGTTACGAAGCTCTTCCCTGCTGCTCTTAGAAAGCTAGAGGTTACATCAGAGCTGCCCGGGGAGGAGGAGGAGTCCTTTAACCTGGAGATTGCCGTCCGGTTGAGTTCCGTCGCAGACAGCTTCTGCTCGGTTTCCTCGGCTGGCGTCCCGTTCTTTACCTGCACCCTAAATGTTAGTGTTACTCGAGACTGTGTCCTTATTCCGCTTGCCCTTCTCTCTCCGGGTCATCTCCTCCAGACCCCCGTTGGACCTGTCACCAGTATACCACCAAGGGCTAACTTTGTGTCTCCGTTATGCAGCCCACATTTCTTTCTGCATATTTGACGTCTCTACTTGATGTCGCACATTGCAGCACCCTACTCCTGTCCAAAATAAACCACGTACTCCCCCCAAACCTGATTCTCTTCCATGTGCCTTATCTTGGGGAAGCATACGCGTATCCATGCCGCTTTCGAAGCCAGAAACTTGGGAGTTACCCACTTTTCTCTTTGGCCTTACTTTCAGAGCCTAACTTGTCAACTGTCTTTTGAATCTGCTCTTCTCTATTCTGCCGCCCCCCCCCACCCCCCCCACGTTTTCTGGTCTGACCTTCCAGCAGCCTCCTAACTTGTCACCCAGTCAGTCCTTATTCCCCGCCAATTGAATTTGCGTTACAGCAGAGTGATCTCTTTGAAACAGAAACAGAAACCCGATCGCTTGAAGTCATCTAGTGGTTCCAGCTCCTGGCGTGGCACACAGGGTCGTTCATGCTTTGGTCTTCTTGCCCTCTGCCGCCTGATCCTCTGCCACCCTCCCACACTGAAGTCTTGATGCCCACACATCCCTTGACAAGTTTGCCTGGTGTTCTCTTCCTTCTTGTGCTCATGACAGACTCCTACTCAGCTTTCCCGAGTGCACAGACATCATCCCTTTCGTGAGTTTTCCGTGAGCGCTTTTCCTTTCCTCAGTCTTCTTTCAGGCACAGGTACACTCTCCTGCTGTTCCCACAGCCCCAGTACAGACCTCTGCCACAGCGGTTGGCATAAGGGAGGATATGGAAATGAAAAGGAAGGATAGGGAGGGAGAAAATTGAGTTGGCTGACCTTTTCTCCTTTAAGTTTTTCCTTTATAAAGCTTGTTAATTCCTTCTTCTCAATGTTTTCTTAACATGGCTTCATACTACGATACTGTCCTGCTTTTCTTCCTACT